CAAGGTGTCATATCATATGCAAAGAGTGAGAGTTTGACTTCTTTGCCGATTCAGATGCCTTTTATTTCTTTTTGTTGTCTGACTGCTGAGGCTAGGGCTTCTCATAATATTTTGACTAGAGTGATAATAGTGGACATCCCTGCCGTGTTCCTGACCTTAGGGGAAAAGCTCTGTTTTTCTCCATTGAGAATGATATTCACTGTGGGTTTTTCATAGATGGCTTTGATGATATGGAGGTATGTACCCTCCATCCTACACTGTGACAAGTTTTAATCAAGTAAGTATGCTATACTTTGTCAAATGCTTTTTCTGCATCTATTGAGAGCATCATATGGTTCTCCCCCGATCTTTTTTTTAGGATCATATGGTTCCTGACCTTTCTTTCATTGATGTAGTATATCACATTGATTGATTTGCAGATGTTGACCCAACATGGCAACCCAGGAATAAATCCCACTTGGTCGTGGTGAATAATCCTTATACTGTACTGTTGGATCCTATCGGCTAGTATCTTGGCAAGACTATTTGCATCCATGTTCATCAGGGAGATTGGTCTGTAATTCTCCTTTTTGATGGGGTCTTTGGTTTTGGGATCAAGGTAGTGCCAGCCTCATAGAGTTTGGAAGTTTTCCTTCCATTTATATTTTTGGAAATAGCTTCAGAAGAATAGGTATTAATTCCTCTTTCAACATTTGGTAGCATTTCCCTGGGAAGCCATCGGCCTTGGGCTCTTGTTTGTTGGGAGGTTTTTTGATGACTGCCTCGGTTTCCTTACTGGTTATGGGTCTGTTTAGGTTTTCTATTTCTTCCTGTTTCAGGTTTGGTTGTTTATACATCTCTAGGAATCAATCCCATTTCTTCCAGATTGCCTAATTTGTTGGCATATAGTTGCTCATAATATGTTCTTATAATTGTTTGTATTTTTTCAGGGTTGGTTGTGATCTCTTGTCTTTCATTCATGATTTTATTTATTTGGGTCTTTTCTCTTTTCTTTTTTATAACTCTGGCCAAGGGTTTATCAGTCTTATTAATTCTCTCAAAGAACCAGCTCCTAGTTTTGTTGATCTGTTCTACTGTTCTTTTGGTTTGTATTTCATTGATTTCTGCTCTAATCTTTATGATTTCTCTTCTCCTGCTGGGTTTAGGCTTTATTTGCTGTTCTTTCTCCAGCTGCTTTAGGTACAAGATTAGGTTGTATATGTGAGACCTTTCTTGTTTCTTGAGAAAGGTTTGTATTGCTATATACTTCCCTCTTAGGACTGCCTTTGCTGCATCCCAAAGGTTTTGAACAGTTGTGTATTCATTTCATTTGTTTCCATAGATTTTTAAAATTATTCTTAAATTCCTGGTTGACTCATTCATTGTTTAGTAGGATGCTCTTTAGCCTCCATGTATTTGACTTCTTTCCAAATTTTCTCTTGTGATTGATTTCCAGTTTCAAAACATCATGGCCCAAAATTATGCAGGGAGTGATCCCAATCTTTTGGTACCAGTTGAGACCTGATTTGTGACCCAGGATGTGATCTATTCTGGAGACTGTTCCATGTCCACAGACAAGAATGTGTATTCTGTTGCTTGGGGACTGAATATTCTGAATATATCTGTGAAGTCCATCTGGGCCAATGTGTCATTCAAAGCCCTTATTTCCTTGGTTTTTTTTTTTTTTTTTTTGCTTAGATGATCTGTCCATTTCAGTGAGGGGGTGTTAAAGTCCCCTACTATTATTGTGTTATTTTTGATGTGTTTCTTTAATTTTGTTATTAATTGGCTTATATATTTGGGTGCTCCCATTTTATGGGCATAAACATTTACAATTGTTAGATCTTCTTGTTGGATAGTCACTTTAAGTATGATATAGTGTCCTTCCTCATCTCTTATTACAGTCTTTGGTTTAAAATCTAATTTGTCTGATATAGGGATTGCCACCCCTGCCTTCTTTTGATGTCCATTAGCATGGTAAATGGTTTCCACCCCCTCACTTTAAATCTAGAGGTGTCTTTGGATCTAAAATGAGTCTCGTGCATATAGCTTATCGATGGGTCTTGCTTTTTTATCCAATCTAATACCCTGTGTCTTTTGATTGGGATACTTAGCCCCATTTACATTCAGGGTAACTATTGAAAGATAAGAATTTAGTACCATTATATTGCCTGTAAGGTGATTGTTAATATTGTCTCTGTTTCTTTCTGGTCTATGCTACCTTTATGCTCTCTCTTTGCTTAGAGGACGCCTTCCAATATTTTTTGTAGGGCTGCTTTGGTGATTGCAAATTCTTTTAGTTTTTGTTTGCCCTGGAAGTTTTTTTTATCCTCCTTCTATTTTCAGTGACATCCTACCTGGATAAAGTATTCTGGCTGTATATTTTTCTGAATATATCATGCCAGTCCTTTCTGGCCTGTCAGGTCTCTGTGGATATGTCTACTGCCAATCTAATGTTTCTACCATTTTAGGTTATAGACCTCTTGTCCCAAGCTATTTTCAGGTTTTTCTCTTTGTCTCTGAGATTTATAAGTTTTACTATTAGATGTCAGGGTGTTGACTTCTTTTTATTGATTTGGAAGGGATGGTTCTCTGAGCCTCTTCCTCACTCGTTTTTATAGCTGAAGTACTCAGTGTGCACATATACTGTGGTTCATTCAGTCACTTTTTTATAGACACTTATATTCCCAGTCTTTGCAATCATAATGTTGCGGTGAATAATCACATCCGGGCATATTTTTTATTGTTGGAGGTTTATCTTTAGAGGAAATCCCCAGTGGTGAAATGTTGGGTCAAAAAGTAAGTGTTTTTGAAGTTTGGTTAGGTAGTGACAAATTCCTGTCAAGAATTGTACCATTTGCATTCCCACCAGCTGTGCAGGGATGCCTGTCTCCCCTACAGCCTTGCCTAGCCGTGTGGTTGTACTTCCATTGTTTACCAGTCTGAGATGTGACGTTCTCTCTAGTGTTTCATTGACATTTCTCTAATCTTGGGTAAGTTTGTACATTTTTCAGGTTTAAGGGTCATTTTTACATCTTAGTGTGAGTATGTGTGAGAGAGAGTAAAGGAAGTTGTCTACTTATGTCTTTTCTCAATTTTTCTAGCAGGTTTTTAGTCCCTTGAATGTTTCATTCTTTATATAGTAGAAATAATAATGGTTTGTCTATTATATGTGCTGTAAATGTTTTCCTCCAGTCTTTTGACTTTATGGTATTTCTTAAGAAGTGACTTTTATTTTTTTTAAGGTAGTCAAATGTGTCAATATTTTACCACCTCTGGATTTTTCACCTATGTTTTCTTTTAGTATTTGTATGGTTTCATTTTCTGACATTTAGAGCCTGGATCCATTTGGAGTTTATTCTGCATATGGTGTGATGTACAAATCTATTTTCAACTTTTTCCAAATGACTTTCCAGTTGGCTCAGTATCATTCCTTAAAAAGTCTATTTTGCCTCTGATTTGAGATTTCTCACCCCTTCCCCACTGACACCCAGGGGAACATTGGACCCAAGAGCCTGTCATGACATGGGAAGATAGACCAACATAATGAGATTCCATTCTCAAATATGAACTGAAAACAACTGTGAGAATCAGGACAAAAAAGGCCAAAAGGGTGAAAGGCTGGCATGGTCACAGAGCAATAAGAAAGTCAAAAAGTAAACCAAGGACATTGGATGGTGATGAGGCTGAATAAAGCAGGGATAACAAGCAACTCACAAGACAAAAACAGAAGAGATGGTCCCTGGAACCACCTCAGCTCTTCTGTGCCATCACAACAAACCCTTCCACCAGGAACAGCCCACCACTGACAAGCTCCTAAAATCCCAAGATGGACAAATATGCAGCCAAGACAAAGGAGGAGTTCTCAGCAAGTTAAAAAGCTTTATTGCCATTCCAGGCTTCAAATGAGCCCAGAAGCTGGGGTCGATCCATAGAAGCTGGGGTCGATCCATAGGTCAGTAGGCTGTGTGGAGGATGGGACGATGGCCTCTTCATGGGATCCCTTCATGGTCCACTCCTCTTCATGGGATCCTTGCTCCACAGAGCAGCTGCTGCTGAGTTCCAAATCTTCAGGGTTTTTCCCATTTACCCTGACAGCACTCCTAGACTGAGGTAGGCGGCCTCGTGATTCTTGCAGCTCCCGTCCTGAGAGGCTGCCTCCCCCTCCCCGAGCCCTGGAAGAGCCTGGTCCATGCATCAGACATTATGGATTTGACCCTAGGGAGGGAAAAACAGCACTGGAGGAGTTATCTCCAGATCGAAAGGACAATGTGTATTCTTACATCAGAGGTCGCCAACCGGCCACATCGGGCCAGACTTCCCCACTGGCAAGTCTGTTTGGCCCTCTTGGCTGGCACAGTGTTTTAAAAAATAACTAGTTGCCAATATGTAAAAACTCTAAGATTTCATATAAAAGTCTGGATTTCTGGCTTCTCCAAGGGGGGAAAAAAAAAATGGAGACTATTTGGTAATACTGGGCCCACGACATTCTCATGCAGCACCAGCTGCCCCTAAGGGCTGAGCGCACCCTCTCTAACTCAACTCAGGCCCCATCAGCCCTGATAATAGTCCCAAGCTCGAGACTGGACACCAGCTGCCTTATAACAATGGATATGAGCTGCTACACAAAGGGGGGAGAAAGACGTGCCTGGAAGCAATATGTTCCTCGTGGTTGTCCTCCCTTGTTTAGGCAGGCAGCTGAGTTTGTAAACTCTCTTAAATACATACAGCGTTCTTAAATACCTCTCCCAGTGAAGCCCTCCACCACGTGCCCTACCTCCCCAGGACACGCTATGCCCCGCTGTTCCTGGGCAAACCTATAAGAGAATACTGAATTAATCACAGCAGTTAACAGAGGAATAAGCTAAGCTGAACTACTCCCGTCCCTTCCTTGTAAGCAGGCTTGGAGTAAAACAAAGACGGTTCATACTCTCATTCTGCTTTCAAGTCTGTGACCAAAAAAAAATTTTGGTAAGAAAATCATGAAGATACCTCAGGAAACCAAGATTGGGTCAGTCTGAACTAGGGGTCACAAAACATGTGAGTCCTATTGCTTCATTATTTAGAAAATGAGTTAAGCTCTTAGAGAGAAAATCATAGGTGTGAGAAGGAAGATGAAACAGCCGGCCTGGCAGGTCATGGGCTATCAAGAGTTTCCAAGCTCCTCCCCAGGTCAGAGCTGCCTGCCCAAGCCTAGAACGCAGGTGGCACAGAAGGATTTTCAGTGAGGAAAGTGGCATCATTGTAGAAAGGGGCTTGAAAGGGGACAGAGAGTCAGAATTTGACCTTGGCAAATGCAAAGCAGAAGAAGTGGGACATCTTCCTCATACCCTTTCATTCTGCTGTGGCTGGTGCCACTTTACTCGCCCTTCAGAGCAACAGAGATCCTGACACAGCCCAGATGTTTCCCACCGCTGCTGAGGATGCTCTGGATGCGGTAGGTCCCGGAGCTGATCCAGCCGGGCAGCTCCATGTCAGGCAGGGTGAACTGAGTCTTGGGCACTGAGTAGGTGCCCTGTGGGAAAACCAATGGATCACAGGTCAGCGGGAGCCTACTGACAGGACTCTCCTGGAGCTCTCCTGTAAGACTGCAGCCATGAACTGCCCCTCCTCCCACTCTCCCGAGTGCCACGTGAGATCAGAGATGGCTGGAGCACTACGCAGCATGGAAGGTTACAGCTCATGGGCACTGGAGGCTACACTGCAGCTCAAGTCACCCAGTTCAAAAGTGAATAAACCAAGGCCCCCCAAACATAAGAATTCAGGATAGATCACACCAATTTTCACCCACAAACATCCAGATCTGCAGAAGGAGAATGCGAGAACCCATCTCTCCAAACCCCACATTTTTACTCCAGCCACAAAAATAATATTCTCCTTCCCTAAGTACTTACTGCTTTGAGGGGACAGTGGCAGGGAAGCCCATAGGTATGCAGGGGCTCTGGGCACGGCTGTCCGGGGGGGATGAAAACGTCTAATATTTGGCAGATGTCGTCAAAGGTGCAGCTACCAGCATGGCCCATACATGGAACTTTGACCCAGAAGCTGGCCATTTCCTTCTCTATAGTTAATTCCACCTGGTGAGAAAGAGTTTGAAACAGTATGAATTCCAAGGCAAACATCCCAGCCTCTCTATATCTCCAAAAGGTCAGCATTTTATTTTAATCACAGAATTTTTAATCAGATGGGATCTTGGAGATATTCTGATATAGCAGTGACAATATGGTGGCACATATCCCAATGGCACCTCTTCCAGTGCCCGTGGCAGGTATTAATCATTGCTGTGATTTTTTTCACCCTTCAATGAGCCTCAGTCTTAGAATTCTTTAGGTAGTCACTACCATCGGTGGCACTGGATTTGCAAGGCACTTGCCATCTAACTGCTAACTGGCTAACTAGCACTATTTCCTAGACTTCTCTTCTCAGCCCAATCTTGGCTTGAGAGCCCTTGTCTGTGTAGGACCTCAGCTACTGCCAGCCAATTGGAGCAGAAACCATTTTCTATCCTTGGATCCAATTTTCTCTGTATAGCTACCAAACACAGTATTTATTTTTTAAAACATTTTTAAAATTTATTTACTTGAGAGTGAGAGCAAGACGAGATCACAGAGAGAGAGGGAGAAGCAGACTCCCTATGGAGTAGGGAGCCTGATATGGGGCTCGATCCCAGGACTCTGGGATCATGACCTGAAGCCGAAGGCAGACACTTAACCAACTGAGCCACCCAGGCATCCCAAGAAAACAAAAGGAATTTATAAGGAGATCACTATGGGATTGACATAAAGGAAGATCTTCTTAACCATCATAGCTAGGTTACAACAGACAGAACTAACCCCCAAGAAGTGGTGGGCTCCCTGGACTCAGCTGGAGAAGCCACCAGAGGAGCCCTACAGCCAGAGAGAAGCTGGACGAGAAGATCTACGATGTGCTTCACACCTCCATGCCGTCAGGATGCTATTCCTGTTCTAGAGGTTGCCGCTGACCTAGAAGTGGCCAGGATTTCAAGGCAGACAGTCCCAGCTGTGCCGGATGTGTGCCAGGCGTTCACTGAGTGAGTTGTCTCTCTTGACCATGTCCGTGCCTTCAACCCCCCAAAACGTATCAAGGGAAAATAGTAAGGAAAGGGCAGGAGGACGTTAGCTCACTTGAGCATCTGACCCCTTGTGGGTGTTATGGCAGGAAACCACAATTTTAAGACACTTTTCAGTTCTGACATCCTAGCAATTCCATATTTCCCAGCCTCCAGGCTCACTTGATTTAGGACTTTTCTCTTTGAGACAAACCCTGGAGAGCTCGGGCTGGCTCTCCAGGCTGTGGACTCAGTCTCCCAACTGTCCTAGATGTCATAATCCAGGCCCAGGAGGAAGAGAGATGTCAATATACTCTGGATGCTAAGAGGACAAACTCAAATCGTCTCCTTCACTGACATCCTCCCGCTCTGCTGATGCACACAGTATCCCCCACGCCCCACTCAACGCATACCCCTCCCAGCCCTCCTCTCTGCTCTCCTGCCAAGCCTGTTCCAGCCCCTCTGCCAAGGAAGAACCACAGGGCCTGGGTTAGAAAGCAATTCCTGCCACTTTCCAGTATTTTGCCCTTGCCTGGAGCCACTTCTCTCAGTTTCCATTCCCTTACCTCAAAAGCAGGATATGTCTGCCTCTTACAAGATCCCATGGAGTGAGACAGTGCCCATAAAACACTTGGCACAGTGTCTGAGAGCCAAACATTAACTCCTGTAGGACTATCTGTCCTCCCTTCTCCCTCAGCCAATACTGTCTCCCCTCCCCTTGTTTCACCAATATCCCAAGGAAAATGTTTGAGTCAGTTATGCCCTAAGCAGAAAAGCCCAGATGAGGGGACCAGTGGGGGCCAAGTCCTGCCTGGTGTCCTCCCATGTGGGGCTGTATCTACCAGGAGCCATGCCTCCCCCACCCAGGACAAGCACAGCATCAGCAGTACTCAGTGGCGGTGCATGGAATGGGGGGCAACAGGCACTTCTGAGGCAGCAGTCACGCCTATCATTTGGGGACTGCAAACCATGGCTCATTTCCCAGCCCTTGTTCTCAACCGACTTGCTCTCATGGCTCAGGAAAGCACTCAAGGCTGGATAAAAAGGAACCATAAATCTCTCTAGCCCAAGACTTCTGTTGCAGTTAGGTAGCTCGATCTAAATAAACTTCTGTCATGGAACCTGTCCTGACAACAAGACAGACAGAGACACTGACAGGTAATCAAGACAGGAGCCCTGCACCTGCCAGGACCCATAAAGCAAGTCCCTTCCCCATCAGGTCTCCACTCCTCCATCCTAACAATGGAATAATTGGATCTCACTATCTCAAAGACACTGACCCGTTGTGATAGCCTAAGAGTAAAAAAAAAAAAAAGAGTAATCCTAAGGTTAAAATGATTTGTCTTGGCCTCTCCCACCTGGATAGGCACACAGAAGCTCTAGATAAAGACACACTGATAGGAAGTGAAGGGGAGTCATGTGATGCCCTGGGAAGGGGGCAGTTATAAAGGCCACAGGCCTCAGGCAGGGGCACTGCAGGTACATGATTTTAGAGGGGAAAAAAGCCAAACCATCAGGCCTGAAAGCCATGCCTAAAAGCCCCACATAAGGGTATATGCCAAATAAAACAGCAATTTATGATTCTTGAGGATGGGAAAACCAGGGTCCCGGAGGCTGGAACTTGAGAGAGGGCTCACAGAAGGGAGTTATAAATTATTCCGGATCCTATGAAGCAAGTCAAAAGAGGAAAAGGGAGCTCCTGGGTGGCCCCTAGCTCCTGGCTCATGGAATTTGGGACACCCAGCTTCTCAGCATTGCCACTGGGGTTAAGTCCATCCAGGTCCGAGATGAGACTCTGCATTAAAAAAATTCCACCTCAGCAAGGTCAGAGGAAGAGAGGATGTGTTGGTTCTCCAGCTAACGGGCCGTGGGTCTGAAACACTCACTCTCCTCTCTAGGCCTCAGTAACAAGAGGTGGAAGCCATTGAGGCCTCCAAGCTCATAAGGGGCTGGAGTCCTGACACTCTCTCAAAAGGGGGTCTCTGCTGAACAAGGGAAAGTTCTGGAGCATTCTCCTCCAACCATATCAGGCGCTAAGTCCACCTCCCTGCCTGAAAGAGTTGAGGAACAGGGAACAATACAACATAAGGACACCCAGCCTTGAATGTGCTGATAACCACGTGACCTGGGGCAAGTTGCACACTTCTATGAGCCTCAGGGTCCCTTATCTGTAAAACGAGGCTAATCATCTTTTTTCCTACACATGTGTTCCGTGGCTTTCATTTAATAGCTAATATGCACATTACCTGAAAAGTAAAAGAACGAAACCAAAAATAACAGAGGAGAAATGTAGGGTGAAGGGAAACTGAGCACGGTTTTTAAAAAGTGCAATGGCCCAAATATTTGACAGGTAATTAAGGAATAGGAAAGGGGGTGGTGGTGTCCATCTTAATGGTCTTTGAAGAAGCCAAGAAAAGCAGGCTGGGGGCAGAAGGAGATCGTGAGTTTTTTCCTTCCAAGTCAGATGCACAGTGTCACAGAAATGCCAGCATTTTGCCTAACGATGGCATGAGAGCACCTGCCAGAGAGTTCTGCACCCCAGACCCAGCAGGAACATGGAAATGGCATTTGTGTGACCCTGCTAGATTATCAGTTGAAGTTCAGCTTAAAAAAAAAAAAAAAAAAAAAAAAAAAAATGCAATGATCTCTCCTGGAAAAGACTTAGAAGGAGGTACCAAGGAAGGCAGGGCCCTAGAGCAGTCCACACACAGCCGGGGCTTCTGTCTTGGTCCCGGGGTGGCAGGAAAAGACACTAATTGAACAATTAACAAGAGTTAACATTTTCTGAGCAGGATTGTGGGCCAGGCCCTATGCAAAGTACTCTCCACATTATTAATCCAGCAATTGTCCACAAGCAACCTACGAGGTAGAGGCTGTGATTCGGGCAGGTTGAAGGGGAGTTACAGGGATAGATTCCAAATCAAAAACCTTTCAAAGAATCAGAATAAAACTGGGGCCAGAGTAGAGCTGCAACAGGACAAGCAGAAGGGCATATAAGAATATGCTATAAAGGCAGCAATTCAAAGTAGTGAGAAGGATGACAATGTATGGTGTTAAATAATGAAAAGCCTTTACTGTTCTGAAAAAGTATGGAAATAGCCACCCCCAACAGAGGAAACAGACATGATCAAACTGGTCAATCTCAAAGGAAACACAAAGGGCAACAAAATTAATGAAAAGACATCAAACCTCCCCAGGGATGACATAAAATAGTGGAAAACGTTATTAGAAAATGCTCAGAATCAACAGATGTGTGGAAAAAGGCAAATCTGTTGGAGAGCATACATGGATTCAAAAATCTGGAGGCACCAGAAAGACCTAAAAAGTCTGTGTCTAGGTAATCAGAGAAGGACAAAAAGATACATTACAAGGATAATTTCAGCAAAGGTGTTTCTAACAGCCAAAAAAATAAAACCAAACAGACAAAAAACTACCACAGAAACAAACTATATATCTGATAACAGATTTGTTAAGTACACCAGGACAGACCTACAGTCTCACTCCCTCTCTGGAAATCAATAAAGTCTTTATTTTTTTTTTTTATTTTTTTTTATTTTTTATTTGTTTATTTTGAGAGAGAGAGAGACAGAGTGAGAGAGAGCATGAGAGGGGAGGTCAGAGGAGAAGCAGACTCCCCATGGAGCTGGGAGCCCGATGTGGGACTCGATCCCAGGGCTCTGGGACCATGACCTGAGCCGAAGGCAGTTGCTTAACCAACTGAGCCACCCAGGCGCCCTCAATAAAGTCTTTAAAGAATATGTGTGTTATATGTGATTGATTTGGGGACAGATCTAAAGCCTTGCCTACCAAATGTTAAAAGTGTTTACCCCTATCACTGGGTAATGAGATTTCAGGTGATATATTTCTCCCCACCTTTTGGCAATTTGTGATTTCCAAAGTGACTAGATGTCACTTACGAAGTGATGTGTCTGTTTTATAATTAACAACAGCACCACAACAACACTGCCCGACTGGGGCTGTTAGACAGTCTATGTATCTATGCATCCTTTGTTGCTCTGAGAAATCGGGATTGCACAATTACCCACAGGTCTCTGAACATACATCCTTCAGGGCCCCTGCCATATGGCCCCCCGCACCTTCCCTCCAGCACCTCCCCAACCATGCCCATGCCCAGGCTCACCTTCAGAGGACTGCTGAGGGGGACGCGGATCTGCAACTCGGCGCTGATAGTCACGTTCCCAGGAAAGGTAATGGGGTCAGGTTCCAGAGTCATGCTTTTGAGCAGCACAGGGCCCTTCCTGCCATTGCAGTTCTCCCAGGAAAAGCTACCTATCTGGGATGGCCAAGGAAAAATCAGACAGAAAGAAAAGAAGCATTGACAAAAGGAACCTTCTTTGCAGGTCAGAAGCGTCAACAGAACAGGCTACTGAGGGTGTGACACTGGGCGAGGTACCTCCCCACCCTGAGCTTTACCAGCAAGTCTGTACCTAGAAGCCCAGGATAACACTTGTGGTCCCCATTTCCTGGGTAGTACTATACGAAAAGATTCCAAAAACATAATCTCCCAAAAGTGTGCTGTAAACTATAAAGCACAATATACCAGACCTTGAGCTTCAAAACAGGTGACTAACCACATCTACCCTTGGTAGGTACCTTCTCTGATCTCCCACTCCCGTCCCACCACCCCTCTCCAGCCAGTCCTGGTATCTCCTTAGAGAGAAGCTCCTGGAGGATTCACCTTTGCAGCCTCATGCCCAGGACCTTATTCATGTCATACCCCATGCCCAATCCATGGCCAGGAATAATAGGAAACTTTACACAATGGGAAACCCCACCCTCAAGGAGTAGGCAATCAGCCCAGGAAGGTAATAGGACATGTGCAGAGAGACCCCCAGTGGGGCGCTTGTTGATGAACCCTAGTGAACAAGCTTCCCCAGTCCTAACTAGTGCTTCCTGCCCCCCATCCCATTGCCCATGCCCTGCTCCATCCGAATCACCTTCCTGGCCTCTGTTCAGCCACTTCCTCCTCTTTCTCCACATCCCCCAGAGGTCTTAGAATTCCACCATCTTGTCTGGCTACACAAGACTGCCGACCCCCCACTCCCACAGGACCCTGCTTACTTGTCCATGATCTTTAACACTTTCTATATCAGGCAGACTCTGCCCACCCACTCACCCCTTTCCCATCCCCCTGAAGGCCATCTAAGAGACACTTCAGGCACTCCCACCATGCACATCCCATCTTAGAAGGAAACCCAGCCAACCCCACACCCCCGAGCTCACCCCATCGTCAACACAGCCAACTGAGCTGAAAGGAAACACCTAACCCAAGCTAGGCTGACAGATTCTCTCTGCCTCTGGGACATGGAGGTTGAGACAAAAATCACTTATAGGACTTTGTGCTGTTATTGGGTGAGAACCTTTGGCATGAGGCCAGAATACCTAGACCTGTGACTCATGACCAAGCCAAAGTTTGGGAAGAGACAAGAACTAAGGGTTCTGCTGGTCTCTGGGGGAGAGAACAGAGATGTCCCCTCCCCACCCTCACCCCTGTCTAACCAGGCAGTACGGGGTAGTAGTGGAAGGCATGACTCTGGAGGGTGATATAGGGTACACCAGAGCTTTAGTCAACAAGCGTGACTCAGCCACCATATCACATGATTCTGTGAGCCCATTTCCCCTTTGGCACCTCAATTTCCACATCTTTATACTTTCCTCTTAGGGCAATTGTGAGGATGAGCACGAGCATGAGAGCTTCATGCTCTTAACACAGTGCCAGGCCCAAAGCTGGGCTGGCTCACAGAATGAAAGCCAGGATGTGGCCCAGCCTCCACTTTCTGCCATTACTTCCGTGAGATTCCTTGGATACCTGGAGTAAACTTCCCTTTATTTGAGCTTCTTGGAATGGGTTTCTGTCCCTTGGAATGAAATGTCATGACATAAGTAAGAAAAACAGGACAGGGTCTGATTCATGCCTGCATGCCCCACAGCCCCTCACACAGGGCAGGTACCAGTAAAGATTTCCTTCAGTATTCATCCCACAAATACTTAAGGAGCAATGATCATGGGCCCTGGGCTAAGTCTGTATTAATAGTGGTAAACAATTAGAAATGTTCTTGCCCTGGGGCGCCTGGGTGGCTCAGTCGTTAAGCATCTGCCTTCAGCCTGGGTCATGATCCCAGGGTTCTGGGATTGAGCCCTGCATCAGGCTCCTTGCTCAGTGGGGAGCCTGCCTCTCCTTCTCCCACTCCCCCTGCTTGTGTTCCTTCTCTCTCTATGTCTGTCTGTCTCTCTCTTTCTCTCTCTCTCTCTCTCTCTCGGTCAAATAAATAAATAAATAAATCTTGAAAGAAAGAAAGAAAGAAAGAAAGAAAGAAAGAAAGAAATGTTCTTGCCCTGCCTCAAGGAGCTTAGAGTCTAATGCCAATAAATATTACCCACCATGATTTCTGAGAGCCAGAAAAGAAACGCACAGAGGTCATGTTGAGAGTAACAAAGGGCTTACTTAAATACTTAAATAAGGCGGTAAGGAAATGATACTTAAGCCGGACTCCTGCAGGATGAGGAGTCAGCCATGTAAGTACAGAGAGAAAGAATGTTCTCTCCAGACAGAGACAACATGGGCAAAGGCCCTGTGGTAGGAATTTTAGCTGGTCTGGGCACTACAGGAAGGCTATAGGGCCAGGTGTAACAGATGAATGACATGGATGAGGCTAGAGGGATGGCAAGTTCATTTAATGTATGACCTTGCAGGTCATAACTGGGACCCTGGACTTACTATATTGCAATGGAACCCCTCTGCAAGAGAGTGCCACACTCTGGTTTATGATTGAGAATGGATTGGAGAGGGACAAGTGGATTGTCCAATTCAATGGATTGGAACGGGGAGACCAGTTCGGAGGCTGCTGTCGAATGAAAGAATGCCTGGACTTAAGAGTTGGGCTGAAGGGTTGGTAAGGAGGACTAGCCATCTTCTGGGGCTGCTTTCACAGATTCTTGGGCAACCTGCTTCACATCAAGGACTCCTTCCAGGCTGGGGCAGGTATCCAGAGTGTCTTGCTAAAGATGAAAAATTCCCTCCCTTCTCCCAAGCTCCCTGTCCTTCAGGTCCTGGGGGAGGCATAACAACGCAGTTTCCCAGTGCCTGACTAGAGGTTTCTGTGGCAGTGATTTCTGCAGCTGGGTCCAGCCTCATCTGGAAACAGAGGCAGGAAGGATTAGCAATGCTCACTACGAGCCAGACCCGGCACAGGAGTTCCTCTTACCTGTGCAGGATACGTCCCAAGATCCCCAGTGGATGCCTGAAAACACATACGACACTGAACCCCATATAACCCTATATAGTCTATGTTTTTTTATGCATATTTTTTATACATCCTTATGATCAAGTTTAATTTATAAAATGGGTACCATAAGAGATTAACAACCATAACTAATATGAAACAGAACCATCATAATCATAACAAAAGTTATGTGAATGTAGTCTCTCTCTTTCTCAAAATATCTTACTATACTACACTCAGTGCTTTTTCTTGTTGATGATGTGACACGAGAAAGTGCCTGTCTGATGAGATGAGGGGAGGGGAATGACACAGGCATTGTGATATAATATTAGGCTACTATTAAACTTCCGATGATGTCAGAGAGGATCATCTGCTCCCAGACTGCACATCCAGGCCACAGAGAGCAAAACCAAGGGTAAGAGGGAGACCACTGTATTTACCACTCCCAGGAGAGGCCAATACGTGGGAAGAGGGAACATAGGGCAGAGGAGAAAGGCACAGGTCTGGAGGCAAAAATACAGGTAGACATCACAGACCTCGGTGCCAATCACCCCTCAGCTGAGACCATGGGTAAGTTACCCTCTTGAGGTTTGGTTTCCACATCTATTAAATGGGCACAATTATATCTTCTCACAGGGCTACTGGGAAAAAGAGAAGTCTGTACAGAAAATACAGGTCATCACTCCTCAAGACTGTTAAACCATGAAAACACAAGACTGAGAAGCTGTCACAGACCAGAAGAGCCTGGGGAGATCTGATGAGAAATGTACTGTGGAGCCCTGGACTGGATCCTGGAAGAGAAAGAGGACATTCATGGGAAAACTGGTAAAATCCAAATAAAGTCTGGATCTAGTTCATGGTGATGAGCCAATGTTAGTTTGTCAGTTCAGACAAATGCACAATGGTAATAGAAGATGTTAACATTAGGGGAAATGGAATGAGGAGTTTATGAAAATCCATACTCTCTCTACACTTTTCTATAAATCTAAAATCATTCCCCCAGAGATGCCTGGGTGGCTTGGTCGGTTAAGCATCTGCCTTCAGCTCAGGTCATGATCTCAGGGTCCTGGGATGGAGCCCCACATTGGGCTTCTTGCTCAACCGGGAGCCAGCTTCTCCCTCTGCCTGTCACTCCCCCTGCTTGTGCTCTCTCTCTTGTTCTCTCTCTGACGGATAAATAAATAAAACCTTAAAAAAAAAAAAAAAAGGAAAGCATTCCCCCACAAAAGTTTATTAGGAATAAAAGCACACAGCTCAACACATTGCACAGAGTATATGCACAATAAATGACAGTCATTATACAGTGTCACTGAGTCTATTAAGCACCTACTGTATGCCTAGCACGGGATTAGACATTCTCGCCCCCGTCTAATGCTGGCCACAGTCCGGCGACACAAGACTGGTTAATGCCAGAAAAAGAAATAAAACTCAGTTTTCCAAATGCTTAAATGCTCACTATCACCCACTACCTTTATCTGGCCCATGGTCTCAGGCATAGGGCTCTGAATCACCATGAGCCCAGAGAAAGCAAAGTGCCTCTTGCTGCACAATGAATGGTGTGCGGGCCCATATCCTATAGGGGCCTGAGCGAGGTGGGTGAACTCTATGATATCTCAGGGCCTCCCCAAAACAGCTGCTCTATCTAAAGCCCTCTGGTCTGGGATGGCAACCATGGCCAAGACATATAAGGGAATGGGGATGTAGGGCAAGTTGGAGCTCTAGCCAGACTCCACCTCATAGCGGTCAGCCCTGGAACCAAGAGAAACATTCTCAGCCTACACCTGGGGTCAAACTGGGAATCCTTTGGGCAAATAAGGCCAACAGGTCCTTACGCCTTCATTCAACAGGAAAAATAAAATGGGACCCCTTACCCCTGGGGCAGGATGAGGCCAAGCCTACTGGCTTGTATCACTTTATTTGCCTAAGATTTTAGAGACTTCCTATCCACAAAAGCATTTCCTTTCACTCACATCCATCTGAGAAAGGCAGGTTGGTATCATCATGCCCATCTGTGTCTTGCCCACAGCTATGCAGCAAAGAGGCAATGGAACTAGGCTGCTCCAGATCCCAGAATGACAGAACTTCCCTTTTCCAAGGGTCTGGAGCATGGGGTGAGTGAAAAGTGAAGGAGGGAGTTGGAGACTCTGTGGCCTGTAACTAGAAGCAGTGGGTCACAGGGTTGGATCTCCAGCACAGGAAGAACAAGCCTCTCAAACCCACCCACCCATCAGGACAAGCTGAGACACAGAGCAGTACAGAGGGGAAGGGATGGGTGCCAGGTCTTTTTATGGGTGGTGGAAGGGAGTGGGCAGGTAAACAAGGCTGAGTCTCTGGGCCTGGGAGCAGTTCCTTAGCCTTGCAGTTCTGCCAAATTTCACTCAAATGTTCAGGAAGAAGAGGACAAGAGAGTAGAGACCTGAGGGAGATTAACCCTTCCCAAATGTCTGGAGCAGTCCACCTTCACTGCCCAGATAAGCTAACCAAAACTCGGGAGAGAGAAAAGGACCCACTCACAGTCCCACAGTTAGTGACTTTAGGAGCCTCTACAAAAGGGAAGGAATTCTAGACACCGGAGTAGTCACCCCCATAATCCCACCCTAACTGGGCCGGCAAGCTGGAAGCAGCCACCAGAGGAAACGGGGGCTCACCGGGTTCACCGGGACGCGAACGGGGACGCGTGCGTGGGCCGCAGGGCCGGCGAGAAGCAGGCCCAAGGCCATCAGAAGAGGAGCCTGCATCTTCAGCATCATCGCAAACAGTGGGTCTGCGCCGGTCTACTAGGTCTGTGCCAGTAGCGTCTCTTTTAAATGCTTGCCTTCCCTGATTATGCAAAGCTGGTCATTGCTATGCAAAACAGCTCAGCCACTTCAGGTTTGCTCCGCCCCGTGGGGGATGGGAGATTTCAAGGCCTGGTGCTGCACGGACCTCTCCTGCCTCCAGACGGACTGAGGCTCCGCCTTCAGCCCCTCCCTCTGGGCGTGGGCGTCAAGCCCCTCCTTCTGACTGGCGACCGCGGAGCCAGATGACGAAGGGGGCGGGGCCTAGGGCGGGGCCAGAGCACGGGGGCGGGGAGGAGCTGCTCTTCCTAAACCCACACAGGCAGTGACCATCCCTGCCTGAAAAGCATTTTTGTTTTCAAACCCGGATACATTCCTTGACTAAATGTTACCCTCCCTGTCCCTGTTAACGCTCTCCTGTATCGTGTTACGAATCACTGTGTCTTTTTAATGATTATAATCATAATTGTAATAACCGATAGTAAGTGCTTTAATGCATGTTAAGCACTGTTAAACACCGATGAGGGAATCTTTTTTTTTTTTTCTTGCCCCGTGTTACCACTGAGGAAAACACACAGAGTGAGGTTAGCTTTGCCAAGGTCACAAAGCTAGAAAATGATAGAGCAAGGATTCTGCTTATATAGCCCACAGCCAAGATTTTGTTAAGTTATAATGCTTTGTAATTGAGCTTTGCTTTTTAAAAAAGCAATAGGGATATTATTCCTGCCAAATCACCACTAAGTTGTAAACCCTAGAAGGAGTGGAGCTATGACTTTTGGTCCCTAATGTGACTTAGGACCTGACACATAATAAGCAACCAATCTTGGGTGAATAAATGAATGCATGAATACAATTTAAAACTTACCCAATCATCTCTTCATATATATTTTTTTAAATTTTGGAATTAGGGCGCCTGGGTGGGTTAAGCCGCTGCCTTCGGTTCATGTCATGATCTCAGGGTCCTGGAATTGAGTCCCGTATCGCACTGTAGGAAGGTTCCCCTTTCTCCACATCCTTGCCAGCATCTGTCGTTTCCTGACTCGTTCATTTTAGCCATTCTGACTGGTGTGAGGTGCTATCTCATCATGGTTTTGATTTGGATTTCCCTGATGCTGAGCAATGTGGAGCACTTTTTCATGTGTCTGTTGGCCATTTGTATGTCTTTTTGGCAGAAATGTCTGTTCATGTCTTCTGCCCATTTCTTGATTGGATTATTTGTTCCTTGGGTGTTGAGTTTGTTAGGTTCTTTGTAGATTTCAGATAGTAGCCCTTTACCGATATGTCATTTGCAAATATCTTCTCCCATTCTGTTGGTTTTCTTCTGGTTTTGTTGACTGTTTCCTTTGCTGTGAAAAAGCTTTTTATCTTGAAGTCCCAATAGTTCATTTTGCCCTTGTTGCTTCCCTTGCTTTTGGCAAGGTGTCCAGGAAGAAGTTGCTGTGGCTGAGGTCAAAGAGGTTGCTGCCTGTGTTCTCCTCTAGGAGTCTGATAGATTCCTGTCTCACGTTAGGTCTTTTATCCCTTTTGAGTCTATTTTTGTATATGGTGAAAGGAAATGGTCCAGTTTCATTCTACTGCATGTGGCTGTGTTGTTTATCTCTTTTTCTCAGCTTCTTTATTCTCCATGATTTTGTCTTCTGGATCACTAGTTCTCTCTTCTGCTCATTTTCCTAGCAGTAAGAGCCTCCATTTTTAATTGCATCTCATTAATAGCCTTTTTGATATCAACTTGGTTAGAGTTTCGTTCTTTTATTTCTCCAGAAAGGGATTCTCTAGCGTCTTCTATGCTTTTTTCAAGCCCAGGTAGTATCTCTATAATTGTCATTCTGATCTCTAGTTCTGACATCTTACTTATGTCCATACTGATTAGGTCCCTGGCCATCATTACTGTCTTTTTTCTCTTTTTTAAGGTGAGTTTTTCCATCTTGTCATTCTTGCAGAAAGTGGTGGCTCTTCTATTTGTGGAGCTGCAGCTATTCTTTTCTTAGCTCTACAGTGGAGTTCACGGGGCTACAGAATGATCTGGTACCTAACTAGCTGAATTCCTGGAATCACAAAAAATTAAGGTCTCCTGCTCCTCTGCCATCTTGGACTCTTCCGCCTTCACTAATTGATTTTAAATTAAAAAAAAAAAAAGATCAGGGTATTTTTATAAAAACTAAGAAAGTGGCCCTGTTGCATTGCTATTAACTAATCTCCAGACTTTACCTGATTTTTTTTAAAGATTTTATTTATTTATTTATTTTGACAGACAGAGATCACAAGTAGGCAGAGAAGCAGGCAGAGAGAGAGAGGAAGGGAAGCAGACTCCCCGCCCAGCAGAAACCCCGATGCGGGGCTTGATCCCAGGACTCCAGGATCATGACCTGAGCTGAAGGCAGAGGCTTTAACCCACTGAGCCACCCAAGCGCCCCTTTACCTGATCTTTTAATATGCTTTTGTTAAGTTTTTATTTAAATTCCAGTTAGTTAGCATACAGTGTAGTATTACTTTCAGGTGTACAATATAGTGATTCAACACTTCCATATATCACCCAGTGCTCATTACAGCAAGTGCCCTCCTTAGTACCCTTCACCCATTTCACCCATTCCTCTACTCACCTTCCCTCTGGTAATCATCAGTTTGTTCTCTATAGTTCAGAGTCTGTTTCTTAACTCTCTGTCTCTTTCTTTTTTCCCCCTTTGCTCATATGTTTTGTTTCTTAAATTCCACATATGAATGGAATCATATGGTACTTGTCTTTCTCTGACAAACTTACTCTGCTTTGCTTAGAGTAATACACTCTAGCTCCATCCATATCATTGCAAATGGCAAGGTTTCATTCTTTTTCGTGGCTGAGTAATATTCCATTGTGTACCTACCACATCTTTACCCATTCATCAGTCAATGGACACTTGAGCTGTTTCCATAATTTGGCCATTGTAGATAATTCTGCTATAAACATCAGGGTGCATGAATCCCTTTGAATTAGTATTTTTGTATTCTCTGGGTAAACACTTAGTGGTACAATTGCTGATCATAGGGTAGCTCTATTTTTAACATCTTGAGGAACCTCCATACTGTTTTCCAGAGTGTCTGTGCCAGTCTGCATTCCCAACAGTGTAGGAAGGTTCTCCTTTTTCCACATCCTCACCAACATCTTTTTTTGTTTGTTTGTTTAGCATTTTTCACAAAGCCAGAACAAAATAATCCTAACATTTGAATGGAACCACAAACACCCCAAACAGCTAAAGCAATCTTGAAAAAGAAAAGGAAACATGGAGGCATCATAATTCCAGACTTCAACATATATTTTGAAGCTGTGGTAATCAAAACAGTATGATACTGGCACAAAAATAGTCACGCAGATCAATGGAACAGAATAGAAAACCCAGAAATAAACCCACAACTATATGGTCAATTCATCTTCAGCAAAACAGAAAAGAATATCCAATGGGAAAAGACAGTTTCTTCAACAGATGGTGTTGGCAACATGCAGAGGAATGAAACTGGACCATGTTCTTACACCATATGCAAAGATAAATTATAAATGGATGAAAAGCCTAAATGTTAAACAGGAAACCACCAAAATCTTAGAGGAGAACACAGGCACCAACCTCTTTGATGCCAGCCATAGCAACTTCTTCCTAGATAAGTCTACTGAGGCAAAGGAAACACAAGCAAAAATAAATCATTGAGACTACATCCAAATAAAAAGCTTCTGGTCAGTGAAGGACAGTTTTTGTTGAAACTGTCAACAAAACTAAAAGGCTACCTACAGAATGGGAGAAGATATTTGCAAAAAAGATATCCGATAAAGGGTTAGTATCCAAAATACCTAAAGAACTTATCCAACTCAATACCCCCAATACAAATAATCCAATTAAAAATGGGCAGAAGACACGAATAGACATTTTTCCAAAGAAGACATATAGATGGCCCAACAGACACATGAAAAGATGCTCAACATCAGGGAAATGCAAATCAGAATTACAATAAGATACCACCTCACACCTGTCAGAATGGCTAAAATTAATATGTTTTTTAAATTACACACCTTCCTCCCATTCTGATAAGCTCTTCATTCTCTCATCTAGAACAGCCTTTTCATTATATGTAAGTGCATTTTCAGGCCCCTTGAGGTAGAGGATTTGCCCAGTAATCCACAGCACAAGAAATATTAAAACTCACTTGTCCTAAAGCTAATCCCACAGTGGTATGAGAGGTGCCCATGTGCCTATACTCCTTGGCACTTGTGTCGGTAGATGGGGGAACTGGAAGCTTACGCTGGTCTGCCCTAGAGCCTCATTAAGAACTAAGAAGGGGGCTGCACTGGCTCCCTTCCAGCATCATTCCTTCTCCATCTATGTACCTGTCAAGTCCCTTCAACCCCATGACCCACTTCCTCCCCACTCCTGAATACTCCAGTCTCTCAGCCTCAGACACACTCTTTCACACAAGCCCTTATTGATCTTGGGCATCAAAGGCTAATGCTTTCAGCCATCTTGGAGGATCTCTCTATGAGCTGGCACATTCCTTGTGGATGAGAGTATTTGATCTCCCATCTGAAGGGCTTTGGAAGAGCTGCTGGAAGTCCACAGACACAGTGACTGGAAACCAAATCTATAACCAAGGTAGAAGGTAAAACCACAAGGACAGTGTCTTGTTCAGAGGACTTGTTCCACGTCAGGCAGACCCTGGCCTTTTCCAGCAAGAGCATAGGAAGGGATCTTATCCTCTCTGGCCTCGTTTTCCTCATTTGTAAAACAAAGATTAAAAGAATAATAATAATAAACAACTACTTGTCGGTGCTAAACTATTCACTCATTCAACAAATACTTACAGATTGAAACTATAAAAAGATTTGAACTATATAAAGGTCCTGCCCCCACCCTTATAATCAAAGTCCTATCCCCTACAAAGTTCATTACAGAAAGGCAGGCAGCAGGGAAGGACATAAACAAGATACTATCTAAGAGTAATTATACTGGAAGACAAAAAATACAAAGTGTGGCAATGTTGAGTCTGGTGGGAATTCTCTGAGGAGACAGACTTTTGATGATCCTTGGGAGAAGTGAAAAACATTTGGGTAAGAGTCAATG